CTCCATTTAGTTTTATTGTATACACATATGCAATATAATCTAACTGTTGACTTATTTCAATGTGTGACCAATTGTTAGGAGGAATAGGAGCTGTTTTGAAAGAACTGTTAAGATTTCCATTTTGAGGCACAGTGATAGAAAGGCTGCCATCACCACTGTTATGAAACCACACACCTGGTACTCTGTCATCATATGCATTTGCATCAGAACCTATGTTGAAACGAATAACATTGTGCCAACCTTCAGAATACGAGTTTGGTTTCACATCAAAATAAATTTTATAAGTTTTATCCCATATTGGAACAACTGCCACCAGTTTGTTTTGAACCAAACGTGTTTCTCTATCTTCTATTAGTTGCTCTAAAAATAATAAAGATTACATTTATTCCTTTAAAACTCAAAGTAAATAAATTAAAACAATTATAAGCTAAAATTATTTGTTTATAATTAGTAAACTATAATTGATGATGACAAAATATTTAAAAAGATAATAACAATTAGCTAAAGTAAAACCCTCTAGCTAAATTGAATATATAAATATATATATGGTTTTTACTTTATCAGAACAAAAGTTATTTTAGAATATAAATGTTATTCCAATACCATTAAATGTTAATCTATATAAATAATAATTCAAAAGTAAAATTACAACCTTTTTTATTTATCTATTCATTATAGCAGTTCAGCATCTCTCAAGAGAGTACCTACAGTCAAATTAACTTTAACTATTGAAAACAAATCCAATTTCAAATAATAAACATAAAGTAAAATGATTCTTTACTTAAACCTGATATTTAAAAAAAATATATAAAAAACTCTATGAAAGAATAAAAGAATGACCATAAAAAAAAAAAATAATAAAAAAAAATATATAGGAACAGAACATAATAAAACTAATATATTGAAAAAATGTGAATTAATTTTAAAAACTAAAGCTTGGAACAGTTCCGTGAAATGAAAAATGTTAAGTTGAACTTCACAAGGAAGTAGCAGTTCATTAACTAAATGCATTTTTTTAAACTTTAAAAAAAGTTTACACTCATGTCACGAAACAACATAATTAGTAAACTATCTTATGTAATTGACAGACATGTAATAATATTTAAATGAAAACAAAAAACAAAAATGACATTAAAACATTTATGAATATTTTTAAAGCTGGATATTTTTTCGGGCCTAATAGATTACTGAAGCTTTTTTATCATTTTAAGTAATTACCATTAAACAATAATAAAGAAAAAAATCATGTAAAAAGAAGGTAACTTGATAAATTCATAGGTTTGTAAGTGCTATTGACGACTTTTGATATACTTCGAAAATTATTTTTAATATATTTTAAAGTATTCCAATTAAATAAACTACATTTAATAAACTTTTTAATACTACTAAAAAAATATTCATACATTTAAATGGAAAACTTAAAGAACAAGTAAATGCTTGAAAAAAAATTAATATAGAGTTTCATGCATGAGTTATAAATACATTTGATTTACAGATAAGTCTCTACTAATAATAATATATTTATATAGATATATACATATATATATAAAAAATATATGCATATATTAAACATATATTATAAAATAATATATATATATATATATATATATATATATATATATATAATTATATATAAATATGTATATATATATATATATATATAATTATATATATTTATATATGCACATATATATTTGTATATATATATATATATATATATATATATATATATATATATATATATATACATGTATATATATATATGTATATATATATATATATATATATATATATATATATATATATATATATATATATATATATATATATATATATATATATATATATATGTATATATATATATGTATATATATATATATATATACATATATATATATATATATATATATATATATATATATATATATATATATATATATATATATTTATAGATATATATACATATACACATATATTAACATATATATATACATATATATATATACACATATATAAATATATATATATATATATATATATATATATATATATATATATATATATATATATATAAATAAATATATATATATATATACACATAAATAAACATATATATATATATATATATATATATATATATATATATGCATATAAATAAAAAAATATTTTTGAATCGACTTAACAATAGTATAAAAACATTTGTATATACACTATTGTATAGATATACATAGTGCATGTACACAATCAAAAGCAGCATTTCTAAAAAAGTGTAATCTTACCAACATTTCCACTAAATATTCTTAGATCTTTAATACTACCAGGTTGTGTTTTGGACCAAGGATCTGCACAATACACTTTAACATTTGTAAATGAATATGGATAGGAGTTTTTTATGTCAATCTTTAACATCCCATCTATAAAAACTCTAAGGAAGTATATACTATTAACTCGAACTTGAGATACTCTAATGCTGGACCATTTATTTGAGGGGAGTGCTTCAGGTATAATAGATTCTTTAACATATCCATTAATCATAGTCCAAACTGAGAGTTTTCCGTTGTTATAAAAATACAAACTAGGAATTCTATATCCATATTCCTCATAGTCACCTCCAGTAGTCAAATGAATAATGCTTTTGTATTCTACTGAATAGAAAGTGGGTTTTATTTTGAATGACACTAAGAATGCTTTTGCAAGGAATGGTAATGTTGCAATTAGATTATCACTTTTCAATAATTCTTCATTTACCACTGTAACATAATCTATTAGAAATGCACAACACATAACTTAATAAACTTATATAACTTATTGCAAATAAGTTTAACAAGTCACTACATATACTTAAATAAAATATATATATATATATATATATATATATATATATATATATATATATATATATATATATATATATATATATATATATATATATATATAATATACACAACAATCAAAAAATCATTTAATTTAAACACTAATAAATTGATATATACAAAACATCTACAAATCATATTGTCATATACAAATCATAAACATATCGTAATGCAAAATCATTACAAAGAAAATATTGAGATTAAAAAAAAACTATTTTCAAACCTTTTGGAAGAAGCAGAATATTTGGCATGATTTCATTATCTAAATAATATTTAACAAAATTAGTGGTAAAATGTCATCTAAACAAAACTTACAAACATTAAAATATTTTTCAAATAATTCTCAATTAAATGAAACCATAATTAGTATTTGTATTTAGGCTCATTTATTCAAGTTATTAATTCAAAATTGAAGACAAACATTTTTCAATAGATTGAAAAAAATATAAACTTATTGAAGAAAAAGAGTTCATATTTCTTTGCTAAATGGATTAACATATCTCCTTGCTTATTATTAACTCTATAAAGTCGAAAATGTTATTAGTTCCATGTTTTTGTATTTGTTATTCTAAAGTTAAACATTTAATCTGCTTGGAATAATTTGCAGGCTGCCAAATAAAAAGACAATACAACTTTTCTTTTTCATTTGTAATAAAAAAGCTCCAAAAAGTAATGATGTTCTTATCATAGAGCACTGCATAACATTATATAGCCATTAAAATCATGCCTTCTTCATTACCAAAAATGCATTAATAACCAGAGCCAGATTGTCACCATAGAACCCCAGTTCTGTAGCATCTGAACAACGTCTCTACACCACAGGCAAAATTAGAAAGATATCTCAACAAAAACATTCATCTTGAACAGATTTCAACTACATTCTGTTTCCGCTTTTTGCAAAAAACATTCTAAGCAAAAATTATTTACTGACTTTTACTAAGAAAGCAATTCTTTTTTAAGTTAAAGAACAAACATAGATCAAATCCAGAGTTATACTTTTCCCAAATTAGAATCACAAATGCTAAATATTTTTGAGCCAACAAATGGGTTTTTAATAAGGCCTGCTTAGTTAATGCAATGCAACTCTTTTTGTTTTTATAGAAAAAAAAAACACCTTAAAAACTTAGTTTAATGATTCTGAAGCAAGCTTGTAACAAATATTTTTAAACTATGTTAATGTTAAATAGATTACTACATATAATATATACATATTACTACATATTCAGGTATAAATGAAGCATGATCAGCTGAATTTCAATGTTTATACAGCATTCAATAATTTTAACTTTCCAAAGGAAAAAGCAACAAAAAAAAAAAATTTTTTTCTTGACATACAGTAGACTGTTTAAAAAAAAAGATAGTATAAAACGGAATTAAATATGAGTAATACACAAAATGCTCCATTTTTACTACCAAACTACTTTATATGTCTTAATTAATAAAAGAGTTTTAATAACTAAGTAGTAAACAGTGAAAAAAATAAAAACTTTACAACAATCAAATAAGACTCGTTTTTTGTATTTCTTTAATATTTTTTTTTAATTCGAGCAAACTATATAATAGGTACAGATAAGTTTAGGAAAAAATTAAGATTAACAATCATGGAAGAAGTTCTAAATATAGATATATACTACAATTTTTATGTAAAATAGAAAACTTTTATATTAAAACTGCAAACACTTTAATATATCATTGAAATTCATTCAGTCGTAGAAACAGATATAAAAATATTTTGTCATCATTTGTTATCATCAAAAAAAAAATTATATATATCTATATATATATCTATATATATATCTATATATAAATATATGAAAATATATATATATATATATATATATATATATATATATATATATATATACATATATATATATATATATACATATAAATATATATACATATATATATATATATTTATATACATATACATATATATATATATATATATATATATATATATATATATATATATATATATATATATATATATATATATATATATATATATATACAAATATGTATATATATATATATATATATATATATATATATATATATATATATATATATATATATATATATATATATATATACAAATATTCTCAGGTCAGGTCAGGTTTATCCTGCTACTGGTAACATGTAACCCAGTACAACCTGCTTCATGTCCTGCTGCCTTGTAGGATATGCCTTTTTAGGCAAAGGCTAGGAGATGCAAACTCCGACATAAAACACCCCCTGCCTTGGGGCTCTTGGTTGAGTAAAGGCTAGAGATGGTGTCTCGATAAAAATACTCATCTTGGGCAGATGTTACATGCATCCGGCTGCTGTCTTGTAGAAGGCCTCCTAGGCAAAGACTTAAGGGGTAAAGAGATTCTATCTGTTGACCAGCCTTGCACCCCTTCGTCATCTATTAGGCTGGCACAGATGTATTTTTAATACATTGTTTCCAGTTTAGGATGTTGAACACTGGATCTTCTTGACTCGATTCATGGCTTTGCTTGTGTCTCTGTTTTTATGACTAGGCAACTCATTCTATTATCTCCAAATGAGGGTACAGCTCTAAAACTCAGTTTTATGGTTCTGAGGCCGGCTGGTATTCAGGTTTCCCGAACTCTGTGGTAGCTCTCAGAGAGGCTGATTCCATCAACAGCTGAAAAATATCAGAGTACTAACAGTGCCATGTTGCGCATGGATGGTGTCCCTGTTTGTACTTTTGGTGTGCATTGCCAAGGCCACATTGGAGCCCTTTGTTACGGCTTAGAGTTTATTAGTGGAAGTGAGGCAATTGCTTGAGCTATAGAACAGTGTACTGAGTACTATCAATGTTTTGAGTCAAGTTCTTTAACAAATTTAAAAATGAATAAAGTAACAAAAACTATAAAACACAAAAAACCACAGTCATCACCAAATTCGCTAAACCTTTCATTCACCAATATTCGTGGTCTTCGAAGTAACTTTTCTTCTGTTGAGTCTTATCTCTTGCAAAGTTCACCAGACCTGCTTGCTCTTTGTGAGACTAATTTGAGTTCAGAAGTCTCATCTTGTGATCTTAGCGTTGATGGTTATTTTCCTTTAATTCGTAAAGACTCCAATAGTCACATGCTTGGCCTGGGCATTTACATTCGTAAGAATTCACCCATTTGTCGGGAAACTAGGTTTGAATCCACAGACTACTCTTTTATGTGCTTTCGTTTAGCACTACTTCACTCTATCACCTTTCTCTTTGTTCTATATCGCTCTCCCTCATCCCAAGACTGCACTCTTCTTGATGTTATTTCTGATTATATTGACCAAGCCCTCATTCTTTATCCATCAGCCAATATTGTTGTTGTCGGTGACTTTAATGTTCATCACACTGAATGGCTTGGCTATAGTGTCAGTGACTCTGCAGGCATTAAGGCCCACAACTTTTGTCTTTCTCAATCCCTAACTCAAATAGTCAACTTTCCAACTCGCTTTCCAGACAACCCGAATCATTTACCTTCTCTACTCGACTTATGTCTTGTTTCTGATCCTAGTCAATGTTCAGTTTCTTCACACTCACCCTTAGGTGCGTCTGATCATGGTTTGGTCTCTCTAAAACTATTATCTCATTCTTCTTTACCATTAGAATCCCCTATCATTGTACATCTTACAACTACCTGAAAGCTGACTGGGACTCTTTTCGTGACTTTCTTCGTGATGGCCCCTGGGTAAAATCTTTCGTCTCCCTGTTGACAAATGTGCTTCTTACATAACTTCGTGGATTCAGGCTGGCATGTAATCCTTTATTCCCTTTTGACGATTCCAGGTCAAGCCTCACTCTTCTCCATGGTTTTCTTCACATTGTGCTGCTGCAATTGCAAATCAAAACCATTACTTTCATATCTATCAGCAAAACAATTCTCCAGTAAACAGACGTCTCTTTATTACTGCTAGGAACCATAGTAAAAAGGTTTTGTCTAACGCCAAAACCCGCTATTCTCAGATCATGAAATCTCGTATTTCATCATAAAAATTAGGCTCTCGTGACTTCTGGAGAATTTTTAATAGTATCAATAATAAGGGCAAGTCTGTAATTCCACCTCTTTTGTACGGTTCAGACTTTGTCACCTCACCTAAAGACAAAGCTGAATTGTTTGCCAAGAACTTTTCATCAATATCATCTCTTGATGCCACTAGTTGCGTTTTACCTGATATACCCGTCAAACAGGTTGATCCATTGCTCGACATTTGTATCACTCCAGCTTCTGTATCTAAAGTGATTTCCCGCTTAGACTTTTCAACAGCTTGCGGCCCGGACAACATACCTGTTATAGTCTTGCAGAAGTGTTCTCCTGAGCTGTCGTCTATCTTTTTAAAACTATTCAACATGTGCTTATCAGAGTCTTGTTTTCAAGCCTGCTGGAAAGCAGCATCTGTTATACCTATTTTTAAAAATTCTGGAGAGCGATCTGACTCATCTAACTACCGTCCCATTAGTCTTCTTCCTATCATAAGCAAGGTTTTTGAATCTTTAATTAACAAACACTTAATCTTTCATCTCGAATCTCATAACCTACTTTCTGATCATCAGTATGGATTTCGATCTTCTCGTTCTACGGCTGATTTGCTATCAGTAATAACCAATAGGTTTTATCGCGCATTAGATAAAGGTGGAGAGGTTAAGGCCATTGCTCTTGACATTTCTAAAGCGTTTGATAAAGTTTGGCATGCTGGTCTCCTCCATAAGCTTTCTTCTTATGGTGTATCTGGAAACATCTTTAAGATTATTGAATCCTTCCTTTCCAATCATAGTATAAAAGTTGTCCTTGATGGACAGCACTCTTCTTCTTATTCTGTAACCTCAGGGGTTCCCCAAGGTTCAATCGTTGGCCCTATACTTTTTTTAATTTAAATTAACGATCTTCCAGATATTCTCACATCTAAGGTGGCATTGTTCGCTGATGATACTACCATTTATTCTTGTCACGATAAGAAGCCAACTCCCTCTGATTGCTTGCAGGGGGCATCTGAGCTCGAAAAGGATCTCACTTCTGCTACAGCATGGGACTCGCAGTGGCTGGTAAACTTTAATTCAGATAAAACTCAATTTTTTTCAGCCAATCGTTATCGCAATAATAATTTAGACCTTCCTTTATTTATGAAGGGTAACGTACTCGATGAGTTTCCTACCCTTCATCTTCTAGGATTAACTCTTACTTCTGATCTTTCTTGGAAATCTTATATCAAATCCGTTGCAAAATTAGCAACTGCTGATGTTGCTTCTCTTTATCGAACTCGTCACTTTCTTACTCTGGATTCTATTCTCTATCTCTATAAATCTCAAATCCGGCCTTGTATGGAATACTGTTGCCATATCTGGGGCGGATCTTCTAATGATGCCCTTTCTCTTTTAGACAAGGTGCAAAAACGCATTGTAAACATAGTTGGACCTGCTCTTGCAGCCAACCTTCAACCTCTGTCACATCGTCGTAATGTTGCTTCTCTATCTCTTTTCTACAAATACTATAATGGGCACTGCTCTAAAGAGCTAGCGTCTCTTGTGCCATCTACTAAAATTCATTCTCGTGTTACTCGTCATTCAATTAAGTCTCATCCTTTTTCTGTTACTGTTCCTAAGTGCTCCAAAAACTCTTATTTGTCTAGTTTTTTTCCTCGAACATCAGTTCTTTGGAATTCGCTTCCTTCATCTTGCTTTCCTGATTCATATAATTTGCAATATTTTAAGTCGTCTGTCAATCGTTATCTTGCACTACAATCTTCATCTTTTTCAGTAACTTCCAACACTAATTAGTGGTTGCTTGCAACGTTGTTGGAAGTGAAGAAAATTGAAATAAAAAAAAAAAAATGCGTTTATATACATAATATATATAAATATATATATATATATATATATATATATATATATATATATATATATATATATATATATATATATATATATATATATATATATATATATATATATATATATATATATATATATATATATATATATGTATGAAATAAAAAAGTTTTAGAGCCAGCAAAAAGTAGATTTTGACAATTCTTTATTGTCAAAACAAAAAATTTTATCATAAGACTAATCATAGGGATTATACCTACTCAAGTTTAAGTAAGAGAGTTTGAAGAGTAGCATTCTTTGAGGATGTACAAGTACCTGTTATATACAAGCATTTTGAAAACTTTTTTTAATTTTAACTCTAATTATGAAGCATTTTTAAAAAGTAGTCAATTAACAAAGCTTAAGAGGGCTTATAATCTTGATTTACCTGGAAAATTTACTTTTAAATTATCGCATAACAACCTATAAACAAATTTCTCAAGGGCAATAAAAAAAAGAAGTTTTTTTTACAGACATCTGAAAATATATAAAGCTACAAAATCTACACATCTTAAGTTCAACAAACTTTGACAATTAAATTTACATAACTCTAGTAAGAACTTTATTCAAAAGTGTTTCTCCCAAAAAATCATAAAAATAATTATTTAAAAAACCCTTTTCTAAATATTTTACATACCTAATGTGATGATCTCATTATAATATTTGCTTTGATACAAAAAAGCATTACTATTAAAATAATATCTTACTTCATGCCACCAAACATAAAAAGTAAAGTTTCATTTTAGTACAACAGTATTAAACATTAGAATCATTTATCAAAGAATGTAACAGTTTCAGATTCTTTATAAATACCTGCTTTTCCGTTTAATATTGCAAAATCTTTTATAAAACCATCTTGAGCTTCATGTGATTGATCTGAAGCATAAACATAAACATTTTCATAGGATTCTGGATGAATATTTTCTACTGAAAAAACCTTTTCTCCATTTAGTTTTATTGTATACACATACGCAATATAATCTAACTGTTGACTTATTTCAATGTGTGACCAATTGTTAGGAGGAATAGGAGCTGTTTTAAAAGAACTGTTAAGATTTCCATTTCGAGGAATAGTGATAGAAAGACTGCCATCACCACTGTTATGAAACCACACACCTGGTACTCTGTCATCATATGCATTTGCATCAGAACTAATGTTAAAACTAATAACATTGTGCCAACCTTCAGAATACGAGTTTGGTTTCACATCAAAATAAATTTTATAAGTTTTATCCCATATTGGAACAACTGCCACCAG